GGGGGGGAGAAAAAGGGCGTACGAAGACAGATATAGCGTTACTCCTTGTGGTGGGCTGTAACCCCCGTTAGGAAGAAGCGGTGAGATTTGGGTTTATGCAATTTCATTAAGAAGTTTGAGGGTAATGAGTATGCGTCGCATGCAATAAACCGTGCTTATCAACAGTTATAATTTTATCTAAAGGCGAGAAGGTGACACGACGGCATACTTTTTAAAAAAAGTAAGGACCGGGGGGAACTACATGTTACGGCTCACACACACACACACACACACACACACACACACACACACACACACACACACACACACACACACACACACACACACACACACACACACACACCAGTGCTTCAAAGGGCTGGAAGCATGGCTCAAGTGGTAGAGTACCAGCCAACAAGCATGAGGCTCTGAGTTCAAACCTTATACATTAAAATATAAAAACAAAAGGAGAGAGCAAGACCAGACCCTTGCATTCATAAGGTGACAGTGCGTTCAAACAGTGAATCACTAAACATTGACATGCGAACTGTCGTTCCAGCAAAGCATTCTGGGAGGTCTGATGTTGGTTAGGATTTCTTCGTTTGGTGGGAGGAATGGTTGGCTGGAATGGCACATGTAGGCTGGGGGGTGGGGTGGGAGGCAGCGTCACAAGCTGGGTTCAGGGATGGACAGTACGTTTTGGGGGTGTTAGCAGCACCCTACTGGATGTTAGTGGGATCATGGATGGAAGGGTTTTTTTTTTTTGGTTGTGGAGCTTGAATTCAGGGCCTGAGCACTGTCCCTGAGCTCTTCTGCTCAAGGCTAGCAATCCTTTGAATCACAGCTCCACTTCTGGTTTACTAATGGTTCATTGGAGATAAGAGTCTCATGGGGAGTTTCCTGCTGGGGCTGGCTTTGAACTGAGATCCTTAGATCTCAGCAGGATGACAGGTGTGAAGACACCAGTGCCCGGCACATTTGTTAACTTCGCATCCAGGCAGAGAAGGGACACCAGGGCCACACAGTGGGTTTGGCTTTGGGAAGCACACGCATGCGGGTCATCTCACCTGGTGTCCCGGAGGGTGGACACATCCCGGCTGAGGGTGGAGAGCCTGCTCTTCACCGCCCACAGGGTCAGCAGAAAGCACACCATGTTGATCTTGAGGAGACCAGGGGAGCACCGTGAATGCCCCCTTCTGTTTCTTTGTGGACTGGGGGTGAACCCCAGGACCTCACCTACACTGCAGCCCCACCCCAGCCCCACAGGAGTGGAAGTTGAGCAATTTGATCTCCTGTCAGGCCACCCAACACCCATGGCAAATGGCAGTCTTTTCCATCTCTAGTGGAAGCATCAGAATCTGGAAGTTTCAGGAACACAGCCCAACCCCGGGGCCAGCCTGCGGCATTCCCGCCCCCCGGGTGTTCGTAGCGCCTGCCCAGATGGGTATCAGGAGGTCTGAGGAGTCACTCACAGAGATGATGGTGCAGACCGGGCCGAGGAAAGCCCACACGAAGCCCTTCTCTGTGTTCAGCCAGCAGCTGACAGAGACACAACCAACAGTGCAGATAAAACCTTCTTCCTGCTTCCCTTCCTTCTTCTTTTCCCCTCCTTCCTTTACTTTTATATGATGATGATGATGATGTTTGTTATTATTTGCCAGTTCCAGGGCTTGAACTCACGATCTGGGCACTGTCCCTAAGCTGCTTTTGCTCAAGGCTAGCACTCTAACACTTGAGCCACAGCACCACTTCTGGCTTTTTCTGTGTCTGTGGTGCTGAGGAATGGAACCCAGGGCTTCATGCATGATAGGCAAGCGCTCTACCGCTGCGCCACCTTCCCAGCCCCTCCATTTTAAGCTTCCTTTCTCATCCCTCCTTTTCTTCCTCTCCCTCCTTCCCTCCTTCTCTCCTTTTCCCTCCCTCTTCTTCATTTTTTCCTCCCTCCTTCCATCCTTTTTTCCCTCCCTTCCCTCTTTCATTCCTTCCCCTTCCCTTCCCTCCCTCTCTTCCTCTTTTCCTCCCTCCCTTCCTTCCCCTTTCTTCCTCAATACTAGTGTGTCTCTTCTGCGACTTTCTGTAAAGACCCAATGGGGAAGAAAGTACACGTTGTTTATGTCCCACACATGTCACCTCTGTGAGGACTCAGTGAACCATCAAGCAGAGGTGACATCTCTCTTGGATGTCATACTTAGTTTGAGATGGCAAATAAGTCAATGGTCCTGAGATAAACATGGCCAAAGTAGAACACAGACATGTAACTCTGTGTGTGTGTGTGTGTGTGTGTGTGTGTGTGTGTGTGCAGTCCTGGTGCTTGAACTCAGGGCCTGGGCACTGTCCCTGAGCTGCTTTTCCTCAAGACTAGCCCTCTACCACTTGAGCCACAGCGCCACTTCTGACTTTTTGGTGGATAATTGGGGATAAGGGTCTCACTGGATTTTCCTACTCAGCCCTCAGTCTCCTGAGTAGCCGGGACTACATACAGGGCTGTCACCTGTGCGCAGCTCCACTGATCTTTGCTGCGCGGAATTCATCCCCTATGAGCAGACTCCCTGCTTGCTCGCCAAGCTCTGGAGTAAATGCTTGGCATCCGCTTTGGTTCCGCGCGGGCCGGAAGGGCTGGGGCGGGCGGTGTCCGCACTCACCGGGCAGCTGTGCCGTAGAGCCGAGGCCGGGCCGCCGCGGCCACGGCCACCACGACAGCGGGGAGCCCGTAGCCCACGGGGAACAGGAGCGCTCGGAAGCCTCTGCTCCTGGCGGAGGAGTGCAGCACCGTCAGGTTGCGGGCGGCGAGGAGCAGGTGCAGCCCCTCCAGCAGCATCCAGGTGAAGGCCGCCAGGTAGAGGTAGTGCAGGGCGCCGGCGATGATGGCGCAGAGCACCTGCGGGGGGGGGGAGGAGGAGGAGGAGGAGGAAGAGAAGACACCCAGAGTAGCTTGCAGGGCCTGGGTGTGACTCTCTGCAGATCACCCCCCCTTCCCCTCCTTGTGTCCATACTGGGGGTTGGACTCAGAGTTCTGCCGGTGCTGGGCAGGTGCTCCACGACTCCAGCCTCACCTCTAACCCATTCTGCTCCAGCTATGTGTGGAACACCTTTTTCTCACTTTTTTTTTTTTTAAAGCTGGCGAGGCCCAGACTGCGATCCTCCTGTGTGTGCTGCCTATCAAAGCTGCGTTTACAGGTGCGCACCACCCTGCATGCCAGCCTCTTCTGCTGAAGTGGGGTTTTACGGACTTTCCCCCGTTTGTCTGGGCTGACCTGGAATCACAGTCCCACCAAACTCTGCCCCCGAGTGTCTAGTATCAGTGTGAGCCGCCATGCCTGTCTACTTTCTCAGTGCCATTTTATTTCACAGTCCAAGGCGGCAGCCTGGCTCCGTGCGCCCTTGGGCGGGGCAGGGGGTCTGGGGCCGAGGGGCACGGTGGGTACCTTGGGCTCGGTGCGGTGGATGGCGGTGAGGAAGAGGAGGTGGGCGAGGAAGAGGCAGATGGAGAGCTGTAGGTGCAGGGTGGTGCTGAGGTTGCGGATGGCCCTGCACAGGAGGAAGGTGAGGGCCGCCAGGAGGAGGCAGAGCAGGGAGAGGCCGAGCCCCACTTGGGTGATGAGGGCCAGGGCGGGGTCGGCCTCCTGGGCGGGGGCGGAGCAGAGGCGGTGGTCACTGACTCCCGCTTGGGGTCAGTCACTGCCCCCCCACACCCAGACCCATTAGTATTTGGCTTAGCACGTTATACAAAGAAGGGCCCAGGGAAATTTGTCAACTTGATGGCTAAGTGTGACCAGGCTTGGAGGTTTAGATTACAAGAGATTCTTACTTATTTTTTGCTGCAGTGAGCATTCAACACAGGGCCTGGCGCTCCTCCTAGGCAGCTGGTCTACCACCTTGGCCACGCCCCCAAGTCATGCCCACACAGGTCCACGCCCCCTACCACAGGGCCACGCCCACCTACTGTGGAGCCCTGCCCCCTCCTCCAGTCTCACCCTCACCGGGAGCCCCGCCCCTGCCATGAGCCCCGCCCCTGCCATGAGCCACGTCCCTGCCACGAGCTACGCCCCTGCCATGAGCCACACCCCTGCCATGAGCCACGCCCCTGCCACGAGCCACGCCCCTGCCATGAGCCACACCCCTGCCATGAGCCACGCCCCTGCCATGAGCCACGCCCCTGCCATGAGCCACGCCCCTGCCATGAGCCACGCCCCTGCCATGAGCCACGCCCCTGCCATGAGCCAGGTCCCCAGCTCATTTTTGCATTGGTTAGAATTTTTTAATAAATAATTTCATTTAAATAAATTATTTCATTGTTACTAT